TCCCTCTCCCCCTCCATCTCTCTCTCTCTCTCCCCCCCCCCCCTCTCATACCCACCCACACTCAGAATCTTGCACCCAGCTGAACTACTACCATCATATCAACCATTTCTGTTCTTGAGATCCTGTTTTTATTTTTACACCAAATGTTCTATCATCAGACCACCAGACAAACAAAATAAAAAATAGTATCCGTTCGTTTGGCAGATATCGTGGACAATATATTATCCGTGTTCATCAATAAAATTTATACCATGAAACAAGCCACATCTGTTATCTACTGTGTGTGGTTAGAGCGAACCACAACATTTCATCAGACAAAAAAAACCATTTAAAGTAGATAAGTGTCTTAACTCAATATCATCAAAAATCTTCGACATTGAAATAACGAATCATATGTCAATTTAAATTAATGTTGATGTTGTTATCTTACCGGGAAAAGGTAGGCTTCTTATATCCAATATTTAAGACAAAATAAACATTTTACCATTGGTACACGAATCGTGTACCATAATGCGTTTTAGCGCCATTTGGTACAAGGGACTCGAAGAACGAGGCTAGACATATTCCACAAGTCATGTCAAACGGTGACCATATATTCTTATCTTGAGAGCATGCGCAATAAATAATATTGCTGTAGACTGGAATAACCAGACACTACATATTGCCATTCGATTGAGACTTCTGGCATATTTCGCAGAAAATAACTGATTAGAAATTACAGTAAAAACGGAAACGATTGCATGTAAATCAGTTTATATACATTCATATTACATTATTATATGCGCTGAGACCCATTTGTGTCAATTTCTAGATCCCAAATATTAGCGATTTACCTGTTTTAATTCACCGAACATAAGTGATCAGAAATTACAGTAAAAACAGAAACGATTGAATGTAAATCAGTTTATATACATTCATATTACATTATTATATGCGTTTGTGTCAATTTCTAGGTCCCAAATATTAGCGATTTAGCTCCTTTAAACAAATACAGCAATAATATTTATGAAAGGTCGATCATTATTTGTACAGCACATTTTAATTGTTGACAGGCGACAAAATATGTTTTGATAGAAAATAAACTTGTCAAAATGTTTTTTTTATTATTGCATGTTACAATTTGTCCTAGATAGCTTATCTAAAACATATCCAATTGTCTGGATGGACTGCCTGCAATAATTATTCTGCACCAAGGGAACCATATTGAAATAGGTTCAGTCCGTCCTTCCATCATTATTTTGTTCCAGGAGCATTTCTCATAATATTTTTTTATGTTTCATGGAAATAGATTTGACTAATGACGTTTGGTTTATACAAGAGCGTGGGATATTGTGAATTCTTCAAAACACAAAATTACAAAAGAGGAGAAAAGCATTAGCGTGTTGGCGTACTCATGTCTTCATTAGCCAAGTCGTGGCAGACAACAGAGACTTGAATACTCTAAGCAGTTCAGGGTTTTTTTGTTTTTTTTGTATTTATCATAATTAGGAAAACCTAAAGACATTAAGGGGTAATGGCTATCTGATTAAAGGAGCCACGGTGGCTAGATGGTTAAGACGCTGGCTCGCTAGCCTGGAGGTCGGGTGTTCGATCCCTGCATTGGCCGAGAAAGTTCATCCAGACTTTCCGACGTGGTTTCCCCTTGTCAGTGGTGCAGAACTGAGGGTCTGACAAGGACAGCTGACTAGTCATTCGGATAATACGAAAAACCGAGATCCCGTGTATATATTGGAATGCACGAAAAAGATCCCCGGGCAGTTGGAATTCGATATAAGAGTAGGCGATAGTGCCGCTGCCTGGGCAAAATTTCTCTCATAGCACACTGTATGGCGTATACCCGTCTTAATTAGCCCAGTATAGGAGCAGAACAGTAGGACGTTAAACCCCATTTCATTTCTATCTGATTAAAATACAGATCTATATTTCGTTTGGTTTTTTTTATACTTTCAATGGCCTACACTACATGAAGATCTAACCGGTTGTACTGGAATATCTTGTCAGGGTCGTACGAGCGGCTTTTGACCGTATGACGTCAGACATTGATTAATCAATCAGTGTTGATGTTTCTAGTGGGTTACCCACAGTTCCATGTAAATCACGCCAAAAACTCGACGTAACAGATCCTTTCATTGGCTAATCCCTCACATCATCCAGAACGCGGGTTATATAATAACTCTTCTAGATCCTAGTGTAGTGAAGACAAGTAAAAGAGAATTTTGAACTATAAGAAACGAAACGAAATAAGATTTGTGTTTTAATCAGATTGGGTGAAATGGATAATGCCAACTTTAACATTGGCTCTTTAACTTTCTTTCATCTGCAAAAAAAAAATAAACTTTTTTTTTTAAAAATTAATTATTGTTCATCCCAGGATAAAGACTGAAAGAGTTCTGCTTTTTCTTTCTTCTTAGCCTTTTAGTGTTTTGCAAATGACAGGAACTCACGCTAATGATGTCTCGGGCGATAAAAATTTAATGATTATATCTATCAAGAATTTACCCAGTAAATTACCTTCTAAATAAATGTTTTGTTTCGTTTGGGGTTTTTTTAATGCAAAAAAACCGAATACTGGATCTGGGGTTTAATTTGTCATTTTCCTTCTCCATTAGTCCAGTAGATGCAGAAACGTGGGACGTTAAGACTTATTTTATCATAATTCATCATCGAGCCGAACGCCCGTTTTCGTACGAAACTATTTCATCAATTCTGGCCGATTGACCAAACTCCCATCAACAACCGTTGTTATCACGGTGTTTTAAGGTCCGCTTCCACTGAGGATGATATCGCAGACAAGTTGTCTTATTATATTACTGTTTAACGTCCGCTTCCACCGAGGGTGATATCGCAGACAAGTTATCTTGGGAGGGGGGGGGGGCATTAGCTTACCGAAATTAAGTAGGTGCTTCTATTTCCAAGTCAAATATAACGCTCACGCCAGGGATCGAAATCACCTTCGCAAACCAGACTTGACCGGCCAGCAAGAGTTTAAGCGCTACAACAGCCCCACCCGCCCACCACCCACAACTGAAATTGTTATTAGTTAGTTGTATTTTACGTCCGCTTCCACCGAGGTGATATCGCAGACAATAACATGTTATGTATACAAGGTGCAATAATTTACAATGTGATTAGTGAAAAAGCGGATAATTAGGTTTTTATATATATGTACAGAAGACAATAGATAACAGCAAGAGACATGAGATAGCAGGTGCAAAGAATAAAGAGGTGCCAGTGGACGTTTACAAAACAGACGAATTTGTAACAAAACAGACATGAATGTTGACGAACATTTGGACAGAGACAAACATTTAGACATAGTATGAACATATATATATATATAGTTAGGTCATTTTCGTCGGTCTGGTCGATTTGTCCGGTTGAATGGCAGTGCGGTGCAACTCTTCCTTGGGGCTTGTTGGTGAGTGTAAGGCCTGGACCATTCTTTCTTCCATTTGGTTTTGTTGTCCGGTATTTCGTTATTATTTCTGTTGTTCATTCCTTTGTTGTTGGTTCTCTGAAGGAAGAATCCAGCACAACTGAAATTCCAAAGCCTAAATGTTATGTCATCGCGGCCATCTTGGAATTGTAACGTCCATAAATCAATAACCGTCAAACAGTAATGAGGATTGCAAAGTGTAACACATCACTATAACACTATCTTAGTGATAACAGAGACCAGTTTAGTAAATACATGGTTTATTTACATCGGGTATATAACACATCTACATACAAAATAATACAGGAACTTAAACTAATATACACGAACTAGACTACATCAGAACACATATAACTATATTAAATCCACCATTCTGCACCTCTGCCAAGGCAGCGGCTGAACTCAGGTGAGTCCATACGCTGGTACATGTATGTACGTCTCTCCTCCTCTCCAGTCGTCTTTAGTTGTCTTGTTTAACTGTCAGCAAACTCAGATTGTTATATACCCCCGAACAATAGATAACTCATGGTCATATATGCAATTGTCTCTTTTATCTCGTCATGGTATGCTTACTCGCCATTTCGTATTCCTTTGAAGTAATGCGGGGCGTGTGCACAGATCATATGTAGTTTGTAAATGATATATGGGATTAATTACATGTTTAATTAGACCATAGCCAGTCCGTGCCTTATATAGGAGTTTATACAGAGTTGAAAAGTCAATATCATATATTATCAAAAATCATCTGAGTTCTAAGCACCTAAATGACCGTTCAATTTGATGAAAGTTATAGAGTACTTTGTTGCAAAAGTATATACAACCTGGCCGTTTATAGTTCAGCCCACAGTAGGTGACATGTTTCTGGTCTGGTAGACCTACCACATTACGTTTAGTTCAGCCCGTTGTTAGTGTCACGTGTGTCCATTCCAGTAGGCCTACCACATTACGTCTCGTTCCGTCCGTTTTAGGTTAAGTGTGTCCGTTGCGGTAGGTCTACCACATTACGACTCGTTCAGCCCGTTTGTCCAGTAACCCTACCACATTACGTCTGATTAGGCCCACTTTTTAAACAGCGATTACCGGTATTGAAATCGACGCTCTGAATAAAAAATGATTTTCAACCAATTATATATCAATCATCCGCCATGTATTGTTGATAGGGAAGTAGGCTACATTAGCTTGACGTAGGATCACATATATTCTGTACAGCTCAGTGGGCGCTTACGGCTAGCCCCCGGATCCATTCACTTTTTTTTAATATTTGTTTATTTGTGTTTTTCTGAGCTTGATATCTTGTCCATGTATTTGTTTCTGTGTAAATTATTTGTGGTGCAGCCCCCTGCACTTACTATCAAAACAGCCCTAATCTATTTCAAATTTCAGCTCAGTCACAATTGAGTTTTCGTGAAAGATGGTGCACATTCTGGCTCGTGTACGACATCTACCGCAACTTGATATATGAGATTATGAAAGCAATTAATGTTTCGTCTGTTTTGTGATTATTGATCGTTACCAAAATTTATATAACGCAATCAAACTATATTTTTTTCTCTTTATTTTTCAGCACTTCCGCCGGAATTGTATACAATATGGAAAGCGTATCCGTGGCCGTTTGGGGAACCATTTTGTATTTTCAAATCGTATTTAATGGAGTTGACAGCGTATGCGTCAATCATGACAATAACAGCCTTCACCTGTGAACGTTACGTAGCAATAGTTCATCCAATGAGAGGACAGAAAATATCTATTTTATCACGTGCTGTCAAGGTGATTGTGTTCATCTGGATACTGGCGGGAACTTGCGCGTTACCATACCCTATTCACACAAGGATTTATCATTTTGTTACGGACCCTAGGAACGGGGAACCAATCAGTGATTCGTTACTGTGTAATATTCCCTACGAATGGATTCAGAAGATGACGTACATGTTTCAAGTGTCGACATTTGTATTTTTCGTCATACCCATGACAATAATAACTGTCATGTACGTTTTGATTGGAGTAAAATTACGTCAGAAGGAGATCATAACGGCGAGTGTTAACAACGCCCTGGTGGGTAAAACGGCAGCTTCCAGGGCCAGAAAAGCAGTAGTTAAAATGTTAGGTAAGTAGCCTATAAGTCCCTTCTATATTGCTGATTCAGCCGCGATGGTGAAGGTCAGAGGGACTGACAAGGACAGTTCCTAGTCGTTCGGATGGTATGAAAAACCGAGGTCCCGTGTACACATTGGAGTGCACGTATAAGATCCCTTGGAAGTTGGAATTCAATATAAGAGTAGGTTGTAGCGCCACTGTTCGGACAAAATTTCCCTAATAGTGTGGCGTATACCCGTCTTTATTATCGCAGTCGGAGCAGAACAGTAGGACGTTAAACACCATTTCATTGCTTTCGATCTGAAGCCAACAAAATGTCGAGTATGGTGACGACAAAACAGATTACCCAACATCCAATTACCTAGAAATCATATTTCATGCTTTTAACTTAAGTACATTACGATGCTTTGATAATCCACACGTGAATAATTAATTCATTAGAAAGTGTTACACGGTAGACTGGGAATAATAATCACTCCTTACCTTATACTAGTCGCCATTTTCTACTTCACGTGCCTCTCGATACCATTAATTCAATACGAATTTACGTCTGACTGAACAGCGGTGGCGGATCCAGGTGTGAGGTGGGTGGGGGGCTTCAAAACACCCTCAGTAAAAGACAGTATAAAAACAGCAGTGGCGGGTCCAGCTCAAGGGGATATGAGCTAGGGGCTTCCAAACCCGATCCCTAAAATACAGTATAACACAGTATATCCAGTTGAAGGGGTTGGGGGGCGGGCAAGGGGCTGTAAATCTACCATAAACAATAACACGTGAACCACTTGAGAAGTGATTTTTAGGATCCTCAAAGTATGGGGTATAGGTTCAACGCGGCATGAATATTCATTTCCTTTGACTCACTCACTCCGTTCGTTTGAGACTGTCCTGTCTGGTCGGATAAGCTAGTGAATAGGCGACAAGCGTCTCCGCAACATGACTAATAAGTTTCCACAGGGAGCAGGCAAAGAAGTGGACCTAGACAATGTGGTCACTAAAATATACCCCAAATTCAAGAAGTATCCTTCTTTGAATTCGGGAATGATTTATCAATAGTTGGCCCCAACATCGTGTTTCTTGGGTGTTCTTATAGCAGCCTACACGTTATTATTAGATTATTGCATTTCTGTCCGCAGTGGTTTTTATAATTAGGGTTTCACACTGCGTAGCTTGTGTGAAACACTATTGTTTTTGTTAAAATTATTCTTATTATTATTCTTATTATTATTATTTTTTTTTTTTCCAATTTGATTGTATCTCAGAAACTACTTGTCGGATTGATTCGATGTCTTCGGTTTTACTGGAAAAGTGGGTGTGACTTAGAGATTAAAGCTATTTCGAACGTTCTGCGACAATGCAAAATGTCCGAAATCGTCGAATTTGTCGATTTTTGAAATATTGCCGTAATTTTAACAATAATCGTCGGATTTTAACATTGGATACATTTTGACATAGCCAGAGACAAGGCACATAGCCACGGTTCTTTAGATTTTTGATTTTCCACGAATCGTCGGAGATATTAGGCGCCAAATTTTGAAAATTTAAATTTTTACAAAAAACTTTTTTATTCATGAATATTTTAATGTGGTATTTTACCCAGGGTTAAAGAGTCATCTGATTTGACAAAAATGGCACCATTTTTTGTCATCGTAAATTTCCTTGACCCCCATTGGCTAATTCAGTTTTTCAGTCCTGGATTAATTATTTATTGCTCGATTTGTATAAAACAAAGTTCATATGCTCCGTAATCCAAAATGTCATTTTTTTTTGTTACCGGTAAAGTTACCTTTCGGCAACGGAAGTGACATAAATTTAGCAAAAACTACAATTTTGACAGTTCGGTACCACTTTTTGAAAGCAAATATTATTTTTTTCAAATCTGGTATGACTGAAAGTGTGTGCCCTGTAAAGGCGCAGAAAACATCGGGCTCAGTTTTTTTAATTTCGATTTCGTTTTCGGGTCATTTTGATTTAAAGGTGAAAAAGGTGAAAAAATGAGCTATTTACAACCCATTCAGGCTTTTCATATTTTAAAATATTTCTTCGCAACTTTCATAAACTTGTAGCATTAATCCATACGAAGAGAATCTATCTCAAAATTAGTTTGTAATATGAGCAGTTGCCGAGAAATGGTCAATTTTGCATGAGTCACTCTTTACGCTATTGTGTCTGTAAAAGAGTCAATTATTATTGGATTTTCATAAAAGTGACACCATTTGATGCATAATGTCAATTGTGACTAGTTAAACTCAATTTAACATTTTCCATGTCACCGGAAATGACGAAATTTGGGTAAAAACTGTATTTATAGCCTTAGAAACAAATAATTTATTGAAATGAGTCGTATTTGTTGTTTGTTTAATATTTTGATATTTGATTCTAATCAACTAATAGCATGAACCCATACGATCATATAGGTATCACAAAATGGTTTCTAACTTGTTCAGTTGTAGAGAAATAGGTAATTTTCAACAGGTCACTTTTCAAGGTTTTTTGTCCATAAAAGTGTCAATTATTATTCGATTTTCATGAAATATTCACTATGTGATACCTAATGCCATTTACGATTTCATACAAGTAATTTAAGATTTTCATTATCACCGGAAGTAACGTCATTTTGGCAAAAATTGTATTTTTAGCTTTCAAAACAGATATTTTATTCAAATGAGTCTGAGTTGTTATGTTTTTAAAATTATGATATTTGATTCCAATCAACAAATAGAATAAACCCATACGATCATACAGATTCCAGAAAATGGTTTCTAACTTGTATGGTTGCAGAGGAATTGACGGTTTTCTACAAGTCACTTTTTAAGGTTTTTGGTCTATAAAAGTGGCAATTATTATTCGATTTACATAAAATTTTCACCATGTGATGCCTTATGCCATTTCTGATTTCATAAAACTAATTGAATATTTTCATTATCACCGGAAGTACTGTACACTTACATGTAACAAATATATAAAATGAATTGATATTGCTGGATTTGGTTGATTCGGCGTCCATTTTATTTGATGTGTGCAATGATGAGGTGGAAACCTGTTTAATGGTTTCATTGGTACCGGAAGTGACATATGTTTAGGGTAACGTGGCACCGGTGAAACCCGTCATTACTGCATCGCAGTTCTAGTTTTCATTATTATTTTTTTTTTTAAAACAGTTCTATTTATCTCGACGATCAGTGTCTAAAATACTGCCAGACTGCATTTCCAAGAGTCTATTTTCCAAAATTTTCTGTTTGCGTCCGCGAGGGGGGGGGGGGCTTTGCTCCAGATTCTCCCCTCCGTCCACCGGAGGCTAGCGCCGCCACTGAAAAGTCACTATTAAAGCAGTAGTGGAGGACCCGGATGAAGGGGGGGGGGGCTGGCGGTAGGGTAATTTTTTTAGCTTATTTTTTCTTGGGGTGCTGTAGCTGAAATGATAGGCTTTAGCGTCCTACTTTTCTGTACCGACTGGGCTAATGGAGACGGGTGAAACAACAAAGGACCAACTATTTTTTTATTGTGTTATCCTTGGAACAATGATTTTTTCTCTGAATGCCTGTCAGGGATTCGGAAGCCAATGAAATTGGGCTCAACACCCTACTGTTCTGCTCCGACTGGGCATGCACCATACAGTGTGCTATGAGGGATAGTATTCCCAGACAGCGGCGCTACGACTTTCTCTTATATCAAATTACAACCTCGGGTGCTGTAGCTGATGAAACTAATTGTTTTATTCTATTCCAGATAGACACCACTAATCGTTAGTGACAAACGGATTTTTCAAACTTTTATCGGCAGAGCAAATTATGCATGGACCTGAGGGGCCCACCCGCGGTTCATGGCAAAAAGAGAAAAAATTCAAATTCCAGATGAAAGTTTCACGGTAATAGATCTTGCGGCGCGAGGGCGAAGACTGAACTATCTCTCAACCTTCTCTGTGAAGTTCCACTCATTCCGGTGATTTCACTTGTTATAACAGTTCCCCACCGTTATATGTCATTTCCGCGCATTGTATGTCATTCCGAACTGAATAGATTTCGTATGTGATCAGATATTATGTAATTATTCTTGTATTACAGACCGTTTAATTGTGTGTTACGCGTGCGTGCCATTCAAAAGGATATGAAATAATCTTTTCGTCGTGTTAGGGGCCCCGCGATTCTAGTAAGGCCCAAGGCCCCGCTCCGGTTAAACTGGACTTTGCGACAGAGATACCCCCACACCGTGTCCGCCACTACTGAACAGTATTACCGCCATTTTTATTGGAATGTTACGTTTGGGAATATTATGTAAAGTGTTGTGTTAAGGCTTCAGTGGGTATTGTGTCAACTTGAAATAATCCACGCCATTTATCTGCCATTTTCTATAACATCGGCCATTAATTATGGGTCCTGATTCTAAATACTCAATACACTTGGGGTTTATTGAAACGTGTGAGAAAACAGACATGGCTGTGATTAAATTTGGTTGTAAATCTTTTAAAGTGAAGATATGAGCAAATCGCCTGTTGTAAAGACGAATGGGGTTTGAAAAAAACCCAGACATGTTTGTGATTAAGTTTAGTTATAAAATTTAGTGATTAAATTTAGATCCCCGGTTGTACATGACAAGGAATAGGGTCGCCTGTCCAGCATCGTGGGTTTTCTCCGGGTCTTCCGGTTTCCCTCCACTGCTAAACACCCCTACACGCGCAAAATAAAATTGAACCTTATGTTAGTTCCGAAATGACCGCGTTTGTGTCGAGTGGACGTTAAACCCATCTATCTCTCTCTCTCTCTCTCTCTCTCTCTCTCTCTCTCTCGTCAACACAATAATTTGGTCATTTTGAGACTAACATATATGTGTCTTTTTATGTGTGCAATGAAAGTGTTTTATGTGTGCAATGAAAGTGTTTTATGTGTGCAATGAAAATGTTTTTATGTGTGCAATGAAAGTGTTCTATGTGTGCAATGAAAGTGCTTTGTTGTGTGCGATAAAAATGTTTTTATGTGTGAAATGAAAATGTTTTCTGTGTGCAATGAAAGTGCT